ATAAAATGAGCTCTTCCTTCAATGAGCCATCACGATGTGAAATGGGAGTATTTTCTAACTGGTTCACGTTTGCTAAATGTTAGGTAATATATATATATACATATATATATATATATATGTATATATATATATATATATATTCAAACTTAATTTTAAGCAGGACCTAAAATTTTAATTCATGTGGCAGGGATCTAGAAACAATATCGAACTCTTCATATTTTTTGTGATCAGAGAGACTTGCTTGATTACATCATTGATTTGTCTTCAGTATTCAGAACTCACCCTTCAGTTGTCTAATTTAACGGGGTAAAGTCCAAAGAAAAAACTAAACATAAGGAATAAGAATGTGTTCTTGCTGGGTTTAAAGTTAGAATTGCTCTTTCTTACAATAAAGAGAATCAATTTTTTCTACAAAGAAGAAAGCTATATTGTTGGACTTCAAGTTATATGTGCTGGATGTCAACTAATAGTGAAATAATTAATTTCTAGGAATTATAAAAATCTATTACAATATTTTTTTACCAAATTTTAAAGAGGGCATCGTGGTTGAGAGTGATTTTTTTTTTTTTAACTTCACAACTTTCTCCCAACCCAGAGCTTTGTTTACTATTAAACGACAGGTTGACTTCTTTGCGTTTTAAAAAGATCCAAGCACTAACTCAAGGACTTGATTGCTGGAGGCACTAAGATGAGCATCAGTAGTGGGCATGGTTTCTGTCTCAGGCCTCCACACAGGCTCCTGGTCACAGAGGGGCAGAGGTTGTCTAAGTCATCTTTCTCACTACAAAATAATAAAAGTGGCAGTGGGCACTCGGTTCCCCATCTTTTGTGGCCACTGAAGCCGAGCAGCCTTCATGCCTGACCTGCAATTCTAAAAAGGCTGATGAAGGTTAATGCTCCCCATTTGCAGCCCCTTTCTCTTTGGAAGGGTAGATGAGAAAATTATAATCTCTCTGTTATGATTAGCTCTCTGACTATGTCTGTGTTGAACTTGAAGAGAATTGTTATCATTTTCAGTTTGTGTTTCCCTGTCCTTTGTGATAGCTTGGGTCAGAGGTTGGGCTGCAGGCCTCCCAGTGGTCTGAAGAGCAATAATCCAACTTCTAGGCTGAGCCAAAAACAATAGTAACCTCAAAACAGGGCCTGGACTCAGTGTGGAGCTCATTTTCATTGGCCAGACTTCTTCTTTCCCTGCAGTGGCCTGGACGTTCATTCATCTTGATCCGTCTGAATGCTGTACCTCTGTAATACTAATATTTGCATGTTTGGAAATAGTTTGAGACAATAAAATACTTTGAGACAATAAAATACTTGAAACTATCCAAATTCGGGGATCTTATATGAATAAAATAGCTATATATGATTATAAGAAAATTTTACTCTGTATCTAGATATTTTACCATTGTTTGATACATAGTTAGCTATGGGTTTGAAAATACTAGTATTCATTTAATTCTAAATATTCTTTTTTTCTAAGATCCGCTTCTCCAAAACACTGCAGACTCTAGAATCAGACCGTGTGGGTTCACATGTGACTCTATTACATACTTAAGTGAGTGACCAAGGACAAATATATTAATTATTGAATGATAAATAGCAAATTACTCCAAAATGTAGTAGCTTAAACAATAAACACTTGTTAACTCACACTCTGTGGTTTGGGAATTCAGGAGCCACTGGGTCAGGATCTCTTGTGGGGGTGCAGTCAACATATTGGCAGGGGCTGCAGTCGTCTGAAGATTTGCCTAGGGCTGGTGCATCTTTTCGTTCACATGTCAGGCCAATTAGTGTCAGCTGTTTTTAACAGGCCTCAGTTCCGTGCGATGTTGTCTGTGCGTGGAGGTGTGTGAGTGTGCTCATGGCATGGCAGCTGGCCTCCCCCAGAATGAGTGATGCAAGAGGGAGCAAGGAGGAAGCCATAATGCTTTTTATGAACTCGCCTTAGACATCACACATCATCCCTTTCATCGCATTCTATTCGTTCAAAGCAAATCATTAAGCTCAACCCACATTCAAGGGGAGGGAAGTGAGACTTCACATTTTGAAGAAAGGCGTTTCCAAAAATGTGTGGACAAATTTAAAATCAACATGACAAGTTAATAAAATTCTCAGTGACTCAGTTTTATTGTCTATAAAATGGGCGTAATAGTAGTACCACCTCATAGGATTGCTGTAAGGATTCAGTGATATATATGGAAAGTGCTTAAAACAGTGCCTAGCCCATTGTAAGTGCCCTACGAGCATAATGTTAGTTTTGCTTTTTTTTTTCTGATACATCTGAAGATAGAATGATCAAACAAATATTATCTTGATAATTTATACCAAGCTGAGTCTGGCAGAGTCCATGTAACTTGTTGGAACCTTTTTGTTCTTACATGTATGCTTCCAAGGGCCATTGGCAGTTCTTTCAAGGCATCTTGAGTTCGTAGCTAGTTCAGACCTGCGACACTTTGAGTCTTCCCCATTTCAGTAAATGGCTCCACCATTCACACGATAAACCTCTTTGAGTTTCCTGACTCCTCACATCTGACATCCATGGACAAGTCCTGCTGGCTCTACCTTCAAATATATCCAGTCTTTAACTCAACCCCCCCCCCAACCCCAGGGCACCACAAGGTCCAGCTCACCATGAGCTCTCATCAAATCTTCCTTTCTTGACCCCGTATTCTATTCTGTGTTGAGCAGACAGAGTGATCTTTTTAAAAAATAAATAAGATTCCTCCATTTTCATTTTTAAAAACCTTGCAATGGATTACCTAAAAAAAAAAAAAAATTCAAAATCCTCCCACCACAACTTCATCTAGATCCGTGGCCTGGATCACTCCACTATAGCCCGAATAGACTTCTTCCTGTCCCTTGAAATGACCAGGCTTATTTTGACCTCAGGACCTTTGCACTAGCTCTTTCCTCTGCCTAAAATACTCTTTGCATGACTTCTTATTTTAGTCAGGTCTCTACTCAAATGTTGCCATCTCAGAGAGACTGTGCTGAGAAGCCTATCTGAAAGTACCCCAAAACCCACCACACTCCCTTAATATGATGACACCACCTGTGTGACTCCATATGAAATATTTGCATGTTTTTTGTCTGCTTCCCTCACTAGACTGTAAACTCATGAGAGCAGCGAGTTTGCCTGTTTACTAATGTACATCCTGTACTCAGAATGGTGCCTGGCACATAGTGGGTACTCAATAAATGTTTACTGAGTTAATGAATGAACAAGCCGAGTGATGAATCAGTTGATTAATCCAGAAGTCACAGGATAGAAGCTAGTCTGACCCACAGATATGTTTTACTAATACAGTATTATCTGACAGTGTTTTTTTTAATCAGATTTAATTGACAACTTTAAAAAATTGTGAAATTTCATATAAAAATTCCCATTTGGGGCTAAAAATCAAGAGATTTTTGTAATTAGAGTCCTTTGGCAAAAATCATGCCAGCTGCTTCTTTTAAATAGAATTTATTTATCCCAGACACTACCCGCCCCCACCCCCCAACTCCCTATTATCTTCCAGACACCATGACCTTACACCTGGCTGCCTCTGTGGTCCCTGCCTGGCCCCGTAGGCTTTCAGGACCCTAGAATAAGCATACTTATTGTAAGTATGCCAATATTTGTCCTACATGTTGGGGCAATTTGTCATGTCTCACTTAGAAATGAAATTGGTCCCGTGTTGGAGTTCCAAGTCATACGCATATACTTCAGCCTTGGGTGCCATTCTTGTTATAGAACAATCACCCAGCTTGACAGCGTCCACAAAGAACCTTCACTAATGAGGCCATGAAAAGATGCAATTGTGTTTCAAAATAGTTTTCACTTTTGGAAGGTTATTTTTTAAAACATTAAAACAAGAAGCATAGATTTGAAATACTTTCCTTTATTTCCAAAACCTCATGAACAGGATGCAATCCAGATGTTTACCTCAAGTGATTCATTTACCAGTGTGGGGCACGCCCAGTTGTCTTACGAAAGAAAATAACTGAGTTTAACAATAGATGGTTGCATAGTCTGGTCAGATCAGGAGAAATGCATGTATAATAGCAAGAACTCTGTCTTCATGCTCATTGCCTAGCCAGTGCCTACCTATGTTAGAGGCTTGAATATTTATTAAGCATCTGTTATGTGCCAGGAACTGTATTAGGTAGTTGCAGAGCCCATATTCTGTCCAATACTCTAGGATTGCCAGACTGCAAAAACTAAACAAAACAAAGTCAATGCTATAATATAAGCCATAGGAGTTGATGAGGGCTATAGATAAATCGGAAAGTGGAGTGGGGTAAGGGAGATGGGGAGGCCTGGCTGGTTACTCCTCTACATAGTGTGGTCAGGGGAGGTCATGTTGAAAATACGAGATCTGAGCAAGACCTGAAAGAGCTGAGGGAGTTTGCCTAGTGGATCCATGGGGAAGAGCCTTCCAGGTTAAGGAAAGACCTGGAATGAAGCCTGAAAGCAGAAGCGTGCTTAGTATGTTCAAGGAGCAGCATGTCTACTCTGGCTGAGTTACTGTGCAGACAAGTTGCCTAAAGAATACGTATACCAATGCACACGCTATTCTCCATGGCAGTACTTGACTTTCCCTAGCTAAGGAATGTTTATCACCTATTTTTCATTAAGCTATATTTTTGCTTTAGCCATGAACTGAGCATTGGAGACTACATGACAATATAAGAGACATATTCAGCACGTCAGGCTCAATTTTGTAAAGCAAACTTAAGCAACCGGCCCCAGTTGGCCTGCGGTGGAGATCCTGACCCTAAGCTACTATAGATGCATAATGAATTCTCACGAACTGGTTGCATTTTCATTTTTCCCAACACACTCTCCTGTTCCATCTATCAAATACTAGTGCTTTTCAAAGGAGTAGTCCATGAGGAAAAGAAGAAGAATTGAAATGTGTTGTCTTACTCTGCATATTCGTTACTCTCCACTGAGTAATGACAGTTTGGAGGGGGCCTCTTGACAAATCTCCCTAATAGCTTCATGTCTCCTAATGCAGCTACTCGCAGAGGACTGGCCCTTTGGAGTTGAGATGTGTAAGCTGGTGCCTTTCATACAGAAAGCCTCCGTGGGAATCACTGTGCTGAGCCTGTGCGCTCTAAGTATTGACAGGTAAGAGTGTATGTTTAAGTCAGGTATATCGTGAACACTATGCTTGTGAATTGCTATGTTACTTAGAAAACAAACTATATAATTCAGTAAAACCAGGCTCTATCAGCCTGACAAACAATTTTCTTTTGCTCTTCAGATATCGAGCTGTTGCATCTTGGAGTCGAATTAAAGGAATTGGTGTTCCAAAATGGACAGCAGTAGAAATTGTTTTAATATGGGTGATCTCTGTGGTTCTGGCTGTCCCCGAAGCCGTGGGTTTTGATGTAATTACCACTGACTACAAAGGAAGTTACCTGCACATCTGCTTGCTTCACCCCATTCAGAAAACAGCCTTCATGAAGGTAAATTTTACTTTTTTTTTTCCTTTTCTGTTCTTGCCTTATAAAGATTTAGCTATTTCCCTCCTAATCTCCTCTTCTTGGGAAGCTATTGATTCATGATTGTCCTTGGCATAAATTAAGAGTGTAGGTCCCAGAACTGCGAGGTTCACAATGACTAATGACCCAAACTGCAAGAAGGTTGGGTCACCACATCTCCAGGAATCCCCTGGCACTCAGGGATACAGCTAAACCAGACTCACAACATGAGAGAATCGATCTGAACTTATAGTTTTTTACGCAAATCCCCACCAGGAATGACACCTACTACATTTTTTTTATAAGACTACATGGCAGTCATTAAAGGAAGTAGATGGTTCAGTGAATGATCAAATTGAAATCGCCCTGGTATGGGTGGATTCTGAATGGCAAGCCGGTCCCCACTCTGAAAAGAAAGCTGCCATTGTAAAGAACTTTTCATCTTGGCCATTTATTCAAGAACGTTTAATCAGGAGATCAGAAAAGAATGGCAGTGCTGGTCATCAGAAGATAGGTCCTAAGTTTAAAAAGGTCTTCCCAACAGAATGGGTGAAGAGGAGTGAATGCAGAGGGGGCTCATCTAAGTGTCACTGGTGATTATTTTTTATTTTACATATAAGAAGACTATGCAAAACTTTATAAATTGTATATATATCATGGCAATTGAAGGAATAAAGGGGACATTAATGTGAAAGGGAGAATGAGATTGCTGTGTTCTTGTTTCTTATTAGTTAAAAGAGGGAAAGTACTACATAGATTACATAAATTCTGCTCTGACACGGATATATCTGGAACAACAATTAAAGAAAAAAGAACATTAAAAAAATAAGATGAAAAAAGGCATACGTCCTACACAGTTTCGATTTTTTTTAATTAATAGGATAAATTTATACATTACTGAGCTAAATGATTAATATAGACCTTTTCATATCTGTTTTTCCCATAAAACAAACTTGTTAAAAAGTGAAAATTTCCCTTAAACACTATGATGTCCTTACATAGTCAGATGTGACATTTCATGCAAAGAATACCTTAAGAATAACTAGCTTATATAAAGACAAAAATACCTGAATCACCAATATTTTGAATTTTGCCCATCTACTTAAATTTCAGTGCATAATTAGAACACGCTGCCTCAGAGAATTGAAATGCTTTTTAGGAAATGTTTGTTTCATTTAATATAAGTATTTAATTATTTGTTCAGTAGCTATGACCTGAAAGATTCTATACAGTATTTGTAAAATGGATCTACTTTAGAAGATAATTATCCCTTTAGGAATATGATTTTTCTACAATTTAATGTTTCTATATAAGATTTTCTTCCAGAGGGGTATTAATCATAAAATTCTCTCTTGCCCATAGTTTTACAAGATAGCTAAAGATTGGTGGCTATTTAGTTTCTATTTCTGCTTGCCACTGGCCATCACCGCATTTTTTTATACACTGATGACCTGTGAAATGTTGAGAAAGAAGAGTGGAATGCAAATTGCTTTAAATGATCACATAAAGCAGGTAAGAAAACAGAAGTATTTGTTAACTCGTGATTACTATTATGATTATGAAACAAAATATGATAATAAACTAAAATTATTATATACCAAATCATATTTCCTTGTCCATGCTTCTGTTATTTTTCAATATACGAAGAATATTTTTATATTATCTATCTAGACATATTCCATAAAGAATCTAGAAAGAGCCATAACTTTTTAAAGATGAATCTCTCTACCCTTACTTAGTTCTAATTCACATTAACTATTCAATTTAAAGCTCAGTGTCCTGAATTTTCAAAATGCCACTGACTTTTTATAAACATTATTAAATATTCTGTTTGGGAAAGAAGAACACTGTAATTCTGAGACATCTTTTCCGGGTCTGACTGTGGTTTTTATTTCAGAGACGGGAAGTGGCCAAAACAGTATTTTGCCTGGTCCTTGTCTTTGCCCTCTGTTGGCTTCCTCTTCACCTCAGCAGGATTTTGAAGCTCACTCTTTATGATCAGTATGATCCCAATAGATGTGAACTTTTGAGGTAAGAAAAGTAAAAGAGAAATAGTTTTGTAATGAAATGCCATGCAGTGGTTTTCCATCGATCCCTTTCATAAGCAGAAAGAGTACCATCTCTCTGATCCTTAGGAAGCAATTATGATTTCCTTTTCATTTCACTCCTATTTGAAAAGAATAAAGGGACCTTAAGAGAACACTGGGAATGGAGAGCCAGAGTTGTCCAAATGAGGAGTGAGTGGCATGATTGAAAATATCAGGTCTGATTCTCCCTTGCACATTGCAAATCTTTTCTTTTCAACCAGCCTCAGCACTTCCAAATGAGATTTTACTTTACAAGAGAGAATTGGGCATAATGGGAGACAGGGGACAGTGTGTGTGTGATGGAGACAGAGAATGAGAGAGACAAAGGCAAGAGAGAGAGAAAGAGAGAGACAAAGATCATTTTCTGCAAAGACCTATAATAAAGTCAAAACCATTTTATATGGGTAATTTTTTTTCCACAAAAACACAGAATTTTGCAAAGGATCATGCTCAGATCATCATCTTTTTCACAGACATGTTTTGGGTTATTTTTTGCAGCTTTTTGTTGGTATTGGACTATATCGGCATCAACATGGCCTCCTTGAATTCTTGCATTAATCCAATAGCTCTGTATTTGGTGAGCAAAAGATTCAAAAACTGCTTTAAGGTAAGAGTATATTCCAAAATAAAAAGCTCTTTTAATCTGGCACCAAATATAACACTTTCTATCCAGAGAGATCTAACGAATTGTTTTATACTTTTCCCTTGCATTACATCATGGATGATTTTTCAAAATATGACTTTTGTTCACAAATTTACGATAGCTGATTTTTACCAATAAATCCTAGTCAACCACTCCCTACTGCTTCAACCAATCAGCTATACTCCTAGAATTGCTTAGAAAGTTAATAAAAAATTGCATGCATTGATGTCTGACAGACGTCACATGACAAATAAGAGCTAAACATGAATTAAATTCACTGTTTCTGTTTTGGGTAGATTTTGGACTATGTGAAACAATTTGGATTATAACTAAATTGGTCTTATTTTCACATGGACATGAGAATAACAAGTGAAACAAAGAAATTTAATTCAGGTTTTACCTCCTCTTTTCTACTTTCTTAGCTGAGATGTACTACTTGATGTGGAATATGTAATTATTGTTCATTTGGCTGCTTGCATTGTAACATCCATCCACCCATTTATTCACTCTTTCAACAATCTAACACGGAATAAGATATTCTCTCTCCTTCTATGGGAATGATCCTTTTGTCCCTAGTAGTTCATTATTGGAAAGCCAAGAAGTTAGTTTCTTTGTAAACTCTAAGGCAGTCTATAAAATTATTTGCCCACTCCTAAACTCACAGATTTTAGAGCCAGAAGAGAACACTCATCAAGATCTACTCTCATCTTACAGAGCAGAAAACAATGGAATTCCCTTTACCTTATACCTTTAGATTTTCAGAAAATGAACAGAATGAACAAAGTTTTGAATTTTTAAAAATTCAAGGAAAAAAATGGATATGTAAAACTGAGACACTTCCATACTTTATAACCTTATCCTATAATAGTACTGAATAGGCACATGAGAGTAACAAGTGGCTGAAGAAAAATGGTGATGTGATATTAACTTCATTGATATGGAAAGATAATTATGATACTATACTGTTAAGTGAGAAAAAGCAGATCTAGCAAATGGTTATAGTACAATTCGTATGTGTACTGTACAATTTGATTGAAATTAATTACATGCACACTTCCACACAAATGAACATGCACAGTCATGTGTGTGTGTGTGTGTATATATATATATATATATATATATATATATATATATGGTAATATTACTATTTGCATAGGAAAAAAGTCTTGAGTTACATATTTATCAAATATTAAGAGTATTTCTCAAGTAGTCAAGGTTAATTATCAAGAATTAAGAGTGGTTTTCTCTTTTAATTTTAATTAAAAGGTGAGCAATTTTAACTATATACATTTTTTCTTCTCTGTATTTTCTAGTTTAAAAAGAATTATTGTGTGCTAATTAATGTAATTGCATGTTTTTAAGGGGGAAAATAAGACAGCATGGAAAGAAAGTGGCCCAAGAATTCCCAATCATGCAAAGAAATTAAGAACCTTAGGGAGTAGGAAGTGTTGTGACAATATAACTGATGTAAATATATAATGAGTGACTTTGTTTTGTACAGTCATGCTTATGTTGCTGGTGCCAGTCATTTGAAGAAAAACAGTCCTTGGAGGAAAAGCAGTCGTGCTTAAAGTTCAAAGCTAATGATCACGGATATGACAACTTCCGTTCCAGTAATAAATACAGCTCATCTTGAAGGAAGGAATATTCACTTAATTTCATTTTCTTTATTTTGGACAGAAGTCATTAAAACAATGAGGCACTTGCCAAAACAAAACAAAACAATTGTGTGTTTGCACAAAATAATGTAAAAATGTAAGAGTGATTATTTTTCTAACACTCAGTTACACATGACATTTTATGAGCTGTTCACAGAATGAGAAGAAAAGCAGTGGGAATTAAGAAAGCTTCATTGTGAAAGCACTTAATATTTTACAGCCAGCACTTCAATGTAATTCTTAATAACTCCTAGTATATTCATACATCACTCACATTTAAATTGAGCTCACTCTGATTTTCTGTTAAAGAGATTTATTTTTAAATTAATGTGAATCTGATATAAAGAAAAAATATGTCACTGTAAAATGGAATTTTTAAATGAAGTTTAAATCACTTAATTTAAAATTCTAAAAATCCTGTAAAAGAACTCTTTTATTAATAGTATCACACCACTGGTTGGACTATTATTGAATACAAAATGTCTAAGCTGTTTAGTTGGTATCTTTTTTTTTTTGACATTAGAAACATATTTAAATGATCAGAAGGAAGTATCAGAAAGAGAGACAGGGGTTTTTGAAAGTCATTAAACATTTTACATTCAAGATAAGATCAAATGTCACAATAGGAAAGAGAGAGAAGATTTGAACGCTATCCCTAAAGACTGCTTTGAAATATCCCATTCACCTACCCTGCAAAGAAAAAGCTACCTACAAATTTTTCAGGATTATTAAAACATTCTTTTTCTTTCACTATCACTTTTGTAGTTTATACACTACTTGTTTAGTTTTGTCAGCTGTAAATACTTAGCCACAAGACGCGATGTGTAGATTAAACTAAGGGCAGGCCCCAGAGTTCATACCTTTACCATGGAGGGATGCCAGTAACTCCATAACAGACAGAATGTGAGTTGCCCGGAGCAGCGTTCACATGGCGAAGGAAACGGCCGTAGCCTCTGTCACCCATACTGTAGTCACAATAGTCTCTGGCATATGTATAATATGATGGTTAAAATACTGACTCTTTTTTAAGATCGCACCAATTGGTCAATTTAATAGTGACCTGTAAAGCTTGTTACTAATTTTTATATCATTTTTGTAAATAACTAATAGAAAACAGTTCTTGACATGGTGCTTTTCTGTCGCTTACAAGCAAAATTGTTTTTGGAGACAGTGGGAACCTCTTACTTTGTGCATCCTTGCCTGATTCTTTCATCTCCCCAGCAAAGTGCCTTAGGCTCAGTTGGGAGAAGATGGGTGTGAACCGAGGAGAGAAAACCGAAGAGAGAGGAAATAAGGTGGGGTGGGAAGAAACCCACGAGGGCAGAGTCCCGTTCTTAGCCTGATGTTCATCATTGCCCCGTCACATCCATGCAAAAGGTCCTGATTCTGTTCCAGCAAAACACAGTGCAGTGTTCTCAGAGTGACTTCAGGAACAAATTGGGCCCAAGAGCTTTAACTCAGTCTTAAAATATAACAGAGTTTCCACCTTTTTTTTTTTTTCTTTTAGTAACCCAGGGAAATAAGCTAGCCACATGTTGGAAAGAAGCTAGCATGTTGTTTTCTGCCAGCTTCTAATGTGATGATACAGTAAACCAAAACCCAACAATGTGGCCAAAAGGAAAGGACAATAATTAATTCACATATCACGTGGATTCAATCTATTTACAAATCACTCACAGCCTTGTTTATTAATTTCTTCCCAATCAGTGTTTCCGATGCTTGTCATCACTAATGACATTTCAAACTTTGGCTTTTGAGCAAAATCCAAAAACAGACTCTTTCTTTCACAGTTTATTATATTTTTATTTTTATTTAAGTTTTAGCTCATTTTTATTATCATGTACTGGGTTTTAGTTCTTTCTCCTCATTTACATCCGTAATAGTCTTTCTCTGTATCAGAATCATGGTCTGTAATCATCTGTCAAATTTTGAAACTTCACACAAAGAGTATACATATGCACTATTTATAATGAAATTGTGTTCAGTAGCTTTTCTAAAAATGTTTGGTTCAAAATTTTAACATACGGATAAAGGTTGGTAAGAAACAAACATGATTTCTTGGCATAATTAAGATCAAGATAGGAAAAGGTGCCACTGTTTAAAACACATTTCCTAATGTTCAAAGCTGTATAATATAGCAACAGACAAAAACAGTATTAACATGGATGTTTAAATGTAAAAGATTTATAAGCAATATTAGCCTATTTTCTCCTTTATCCATTGCTAATAGGGGTGCATGTTCAAATATCTTTTAGTATTGACAGCTTACATATGGACAAAGGAATATAGTTTATAGCAAAACATGCTGTAGTTAACTTTATAAAATTGTAATATGACCATATAAAAAATTAAATATTTTGTTCTTCTGTGGTCACTTAAAGTGGCAAATACTATAGTCACAGGTTCCTTATTTTGAAAATAAAATCAATAAAAATTTAAATTGTTTTAAAAAAAGACCAGTCTATTTTTCACTGTGCAGGCAATAATTCATTAAATGCTAATTGAATAAGTGTTTCAAGGACATACAAATGTTACAAGTGGACATTATTTATGTTAAGCATATTATTGTCAAGGAAATGTGAACTTTGTTAAATTAAAATACCAAATTTCTGGTCTCTAGGTTGCATTGTTGTTATATTTTATTGTTGTGAGGAACCAGATATACATACAGGCATTCGATTTCCCAAGGTTGATTATGTGGCTGATGGTTTCCTATGGCATCTATGTCTGTCTTTCTTTGGTTGCCTGCTTTTGGAGCATTTCAATGTTTAATCAGTATTGTACCATAGGTCAAAGGTGAAGGATGAAATGAGATTGTGGGATTATTCATTTTATTCCAAAAGCTTCCTTTGAGGCTTTACTATGTGCAAGGTGGGATGAAATTAATAAAATGTAAGGCTTCTACTAGGTAGGAGACAGAAATGGTAACAAAATTTAACATAAGACAAAATGAAATCAGAACTAAATAACTGCATACTTATTGCTCTCGAAGCTCATGTGTCTATCTCTCAGCACATAACCCCTTTCTCCACCTGCCAAAATAATCAAGAATCATCATTCACTCTTCTCCCATATAACTGTGGTAAACCCAGTTCCAGAAGTTTCTGTGATTTAAGCCTGACCTTTGCCGGATTTCAGCTGCCTAATCTTAGCTGGGCACTTGGAGATACAGGTGTTCTGAATTCCAGGGACTATTCTAGAAGAACAGAAAAGGAAAACATAGGCAGTACCCTCTTTAAGTAGTCACCGAAAAGAGCCTACCTTGTTTTGAACAGTTAGTTGTCAAGTAGCAATAATAATAATAATACCCACACAATTTGTTGTAGTAAAAGTAGACAGAATAAATTCAATTTAGATTCTTGGAAGGAAATCAAGAAATGTGGCGGCCCTAAAATGGAAATGTCCAGAAATCCAAATAGTTCAGAGGCTAAGCTCGTGAAGAGCTATGACACTGGATTTACTTGCTCTCGGTCATTAGTCAGCCTCAGAAGTGACAACAGATCGAATAAATATACCCAAGTTGGAAAATCCCACTGGACTTGAGCACAGAGAAGGACTTCATCATGTTAGGAAGGCAGCGTGTAGAACGGAAAAAGCAACCTACGTCAATAAAACATAACGTCCTTGATTGTTTGGGCAATATGTTGACCTCAAATAAGTCAGTTAACATCTCAGAGCCTCAGTTTAATTATCTATAAAATATAATAAATATTAATATCTCCAACCTAATTCTTATAACTAATCAACAAATTTTGATTGGACTTACTATGTAATTTTAGTGTACGCTCTAAAATATAGGTATACAAAAATGCATTTGTAATAGCCTGTGCCCTCTAGAAACTCACAATCTAATAGGGGAGATAGACATATAAACAAATAAAACCAATTAACATGTTACTATATAGATATCTACATGACGAAAACGGGGGAGTTTAAGGAAACTCATCAGAGGAATCGGTATTTGAGTTGAGCCTTACAGGAAGCTTGCCAAGCCTACAAGAAATTAATGGCATTGCTGGAAAAAGACTATCTTGTGGGAAAACTGAAATGGGTGAAACAGCATGGTCAGTGCAGAAAAAGGGCTAAATCCCAGCGTGCTCAGGGAGGGGTTGTGAGAGGTGAGGCTGGAGAGACAGGCACTGGGGGAGGGCCGTGTGTTCCATGCAGTGGGCTTTGCCTTTCCCACGGCCAGCGTTCCTCAACTGTCTGAGGACTGACTGCATGCCACAGACTCATCTGGGATGTGTGTTTAAAATGCAGATTCCTGGCCTCCAAATCTGATTTACATAACCAGAACCTCTGAGGTGGGTCCTAGAAGTATTTAATTTAACAAAGACTTCAAGTTCTTCTTGTACACCTAAAATTGGGGAAGCCCTGCAATGTAGACATTTGCAAAGTACTGAGTATTTTAAAGAAGGGATAACAGGATAAGACTGATTTGGAAGCAGTATGGGGCAGGGATTAGAAGACTGCAAGACAGAAAGCAATGAGACTGGATAAATAGCTACTGTGATTGACAGATGAAAGAGACGAGGGTCTGAGAGGAAAGTGTGCTGGGATAGTGGAAATAGGCCAGGTCAGATGGCAAGATAGAGTCATCTTAACACTGGCCAGATTAAGGTAAAGCTCAATTGAGAGCCTTCTGGCTGGAATGACCGTTAACCTAAATCAGGGAACAGCTAACTATGGCACAGGGTCAAACCCTTCCTATTGGCCTGTTTTTGTAAATAAAGTTTTATTGGAATACAGCTGCACCCATTTGTTTACATATTACTATAGTTGCTTTTCACTAGAACAGCACAATTGAGTAGTTGTGACAGAAACCTTTAGCCCACAAAGCCTAAAATATTTATTTTCTGCCTTTACAGAAAAAAAAACTGCCAATTCCCAACATACATAAATAATACTAAAGAAAAAGAGAGTAAGCAATTGAACTGGAGGAGAAAAAAGAGTCCTAAGATGGAATGAATTCTGTTTTGGATATAATGAGCTTAAAGTACCATGGAGAATCCATGGAGAAACTTAGGGGATCTACCTGGGTTAAAGACAAAAAATTGTTTATCATGGTTACAGATGCTAATTAAAGAAGAATATGAATGGAAATGCTCAAGGAGAATCAGAAAAAGTGTGAGGGGGGAGGAAAGAAGAGATGAAGAATAAAATAATGAGGGTCACAAGTACAAGAGGAGTAGAGAGAAAAGAGAAATTCAGAAGACACTGCAAGGAACAAGGGAGGCTGGTGTCATGGAAGTCAAAGGGGAGATGATACAAAAACAAAGGAGTAGGCAGGGAACCAGGGTAAAATGAAAATGGAAAAGTGGCCTTTAAAACTGCCAATTCAAAAAACATCAGAGACCTCATCTAGAGCAGTTCGTGTGTGTGTGTGTGTGTGTGTGTGAGAGAGAGAGAGAGAGAGAGAGAGAGAGAGAGAGAGAGAGAGCGAGAGAGAGATATGATGACAAATATCTCTATTTTCTCATCTCCCATTCACTAATAAATACATATTTTATATATATCAAAACATCTTAGCAATAGAAAGATTAAGTTTTTAATTAAAAATAAGTGTATTAAACATATATGCTTTTTTCCTCATCCTCCTTCCAAAACTCCACTAAAATGACAGAAAAAAATAAAAAGGTATAAACCCTCAGGACAGAGACAAAGAAACAGACACCAGCAGACTAGAAATGTTAACAAAATTGTGTAAAGATGAAAACCAGATAAATAAGGTATAACTTACTCAGATTTCAGCTTTCCTTAATAAATGTCTGCCATGGAGACAATGTGACGTGTCTCAGGAGTGACTCAGGAATTGAAGGCAGCCTTGAAGGCAAGGGACTGAAGTGAGCCAAAAATGAAAGAACTGATTAAAAGTCTAAAAGATCAGACTCTAGCATCCTGCACAACTGGTGATGGTCCCTTAGTCAGCTAAAAGACATGTGGCTTCTTTTCTGGAGAGGTTGTGCCAGGCTATCCTAAACTTGGACACAATGAGGACAACTGAAGGTGGGAATGAGGTCCCACCTTACTGGAATCAAAAGGATGAAGAAAGACCTGCCTTATAGACAGTGAGAGTTTCAGCTCTCATCTCACACCAGGCCACCAGAAGAGTGACTAGCAGCCTTATGCATCCCAGGCAAGAGATTGAAGATTCTGTTCTGAGAAAATAGCTAGCTCAAGATAAAATACATACAGGTATCAATATTGAGAGTGAGGAAGGGTCTCACCAAAATGGGTCATATGCTTGTCCTTTCTGCCCACATACATAGAATTTTGAATTCTCCCCTTAGTGCCACAGTTTTAAATATGAATGAGCAGTCAAAGGCCAATAGGTATTTTAGGTAAACCTCTGAAGTGAAACAAACAAACAAACAAATAATGGAGAGGCTGAGGAAACTGAAAAATTGCAGGGAACACAATAAAAAAACTCAACAAAATTATAATTCATTTTCCCAGAGCAATGAGAAGCAAGAAGCAAAAACAGGATGTTACATGAACAAAAGGAATATTCAAAGACCAAGAAAGTGCCTTTGGAAGTTGAAAATATGGTAGGAGAAATAAAATACAATAAAAGAATGTCAAAGGTGAAATTCAGGAAAAGTAGAATGTAAAGCTACTCTGTCAATATGTGCTTCTGCAAAACTAAGGAATCCAGGAAACAGGTGAATTTCAAGCAGGAAAGACAAAAAATGATTCCCAACATGATTGAGAAAAAAAAATGCTGTTTAACCTGTCTATAATGCAATCAATCTGGTTAGGTGCAGAAAAGCAAAGGAAAAATATTTCCATGAAAAAATTGGAACAGAGAGACTGCCTGTTATATTTGACCATGTAGGAGTTTGTAGTTCCATGAAAATTTCTAAGGATAAGTGGGTGATGGTTACATAGAAAATAATCAAACAAAAAGTAATTAGGTGGGGCTGGCCGAATGGCTCAGTTAGTTAAGACTGCAAGCTCTGAAGAACAGGGTCACCGGTTTGATTCCTACATGGGCCAGCGAGTTGCGCCCAAGCTGAACTGCCACTGAGCTGTCAACAGGTGGCAGGATGGCTCAGCTGATGAGAGCACATGCTCCTAACAACTAGATTGCAGGTTCGACTCCCTCAGGATGGTGGCCTATGCCCACCCGCAACTAAGATTGAACATAGCACCTTGAGCTGAGCAGCCTCAAGCTGCCAACGGGCGGCTGGATGGTGACTGGACTTGGAGTTGAGCTAGCTGCGCTCTCCACAACTAAGATTGAAGGACAACAACTTGGCTGTTCCCCTTCCCAATTCCCCAGTAAAATCTTAAACAAAACAACAACAACAAAAAATTAATTAGGCAATTACTAATCTTCACACACATACACCATTTTTTTCTTGTAGAGAAATAAGTAATCATAGCTACATGATTTGGATATAAGCGAATTTACCTTGTCAAAATAAACATGGAAGATTGTTTTAACCAAAATTGTGATATAAATAAATTGGAAGAAAGAGGGGAAGGAAAGTGCACATGATGGTTTATGATGCAAGAAAGCTAAATATTAATTTCCTATGGTAAAAATCTAACACACTTTGGAAAAAAATTGGAAACTACCTAGAAACCTAGGAAAGTTGAAGATATTCTTATCCTATGACC